CCATCGTGGCAATTGAGTCTAACTGAAAACCCAAGTTCGAAGTGTGTGTCTCACCCCCTGTGCCAAAGGGTTCAATGCCACTGTTTTCCATTACAACCACTCAATGAGGCAGGGGGCACCTGGAGCAGAGATAGGGCAGGTGCCAACGAAGACACCTATCTCTTGCTCGTGATATCGACGGGAGACCTCCTGTCGACGTACCTGCTGAAGGAACTTTTGCACACGCTGTGACTCCACTTTCCTACTTTTTGATTCCATGGTGGTTCTCCACGATACTTCCCCCAAACCAACCTTCTTGCCGCGCTTGCAGCCTGTCACCGCCGCGTTCTGCAGACAAGTGAACAATCTGTTCAACAATTCAGTTGCGCTGACCCTTTCACCTTGCGTTTCCCTCATTCCTTTTGACCTGGGAACTGAGTTAACTGAATACCAATGTCAGAGTGTGTTTCGCTCAGCCGTCCCACTCGGGTGCTGAGTGTGATCCCCGTCACTGGGACGCTGAATTCATGCCGGAAATCGTGTAACTGAGCTTTTCCACCTTCACCGGAATTCACCACTGGCTCCAACCTTAACTGAATTTACTGCTTCCACGGCCGCCGGGCCAAAAAACGGTGAACCGCCACAGCCGCCGGGCTATAAAACGGTACTTGCCTTGCAGTCATGCAGTCAGGCAGGTTTCCCATCCCCCCCCCCCCCCCCGCGCTCTTATCCCGCGCTAATTAGGGTAACATAGGAAATAGTACTCGACACACTTGTGTGTCGGTGCCTTTCCCTTTGTTGTCCCTTGTCTAGCCTATCCTACCCGGGCGGTCTAAGACTAAAGTCCCGCTCCCTAACTATTGCATTTAATTCATTTGTGCTAAGTAATCAGTAACTCTAGAGTGCTAGGTATTCAGACACACACATGTACACACACATGAACATACACCCCCTCCCTGCCCCCCGCTTTCTTTTTTGCGCCTTTCGTCGTTTGTTGGGCTTTCTCTCAGGCTTTTTAGGTTGCTCTTGAGGCTCGTTTCCCTGCCCCAGTCAAGGGCTAAGTATTCACTTTTTCTACACCTACCTTTCTTTCTTGCCCTCTTAGCGCTGCTCTTTCTGTCTTTCTTTTCTTTTGTTTCTAAGGCCTTTTAGGTGACTATTGAGTTTTTTCACACGCGTGCCGCGAAGCGGCACCGTGTGTGTGTCACCCCCTGTGCCACAGGGTTCAATGCCACTGTTTTCCATTACAACCACTCAATGAGGCAGGGGGCACCTGGAGCAGAGATAGGGCAGGTGCCAACGAAGACACCTATCTCTTGCTCGTGATATCGACGGGAGACCTCCTGTCGACGTACCTGCTGAAGGAACTTTTGCACACGCTGTGACTCCACTTTCCTACTTTTTGATTCCATGGTGGTTCTCCACGATACTTCCCCCAAACCAACCTTCTTGCCGCGCTTGCAGCCTGTCACCGCCGCGTTTTGCAGACAAGTGAACAATCTGTTCAACAATTCAGTTGCGCTGACCCTTTCACCTTGCGTTTCCCTCATTCCTTTTGACCTGGGAACTGAGTTAACTGAATACCAATGTCAGAGTGTATATATATATATTCATGAGTGTGTAATGTGATAACCCATTGGTTGGAGATCTCGCTGTTAAAGCACACACCCATTGGTGCAAAGGTTTCCCACTTGTGGGTTTCACTCACCTCCAAAAGGAAGGTGTGATGGATCCTGACATGTCAGTCACGCAAGCAGCCACGTACTGAGACGTAGCTTGCTTCAGCTTGCTTTCACGACTCTTTCTTTCCACAAAAGTCTTCATCTGCAAAAGTCCTTGACTTTTCTGGGAGCCAACGAAAAAGCGAAGTCGATCGTAGAAACATTCCTTGGACGGTCTGTGAACACCTTGTTTGGCATTTGCACGTTTTGTGTTTATTAAACCTGACCCTAATCTTGCATGTTCTTGAGGACCTGGAAAAAATGAAGTGGATTCACCCATAGAGATGAACATTGCCCTGAGCAAAACCAGGAAATTGGGTCCCAACCTGCAAAAGAACGCAGCTGCTTTGGTGTCCTGAGAGTTGCACGTGGCCGGTTGCTGTACACTTGCTGCGCGCAACAGCCTGGCAGGGCGCAACAACCGGAATTTATGCAGATGGACTCCACGGGCAAATCCACCAGTCTATGTCCGACATATTGAGACATTCATGCGGTGGACAAGATGTGAATGGTCCTTTTGTTGCCATCAAACGAATTAGTTATTCTGTTGGTTTGAATCCAGTATCCTGCGCTTCTATTTATTTGAGAAGTCTTGGTGGTACAGCTTGATTCAGGATGTAGTTCCAACGTGTGAGAAGTGCTATGAAATAGCTCAGGAGTCTCAACTTTGCGAACTTGGGAAGGATTTTCATCGGCCCCCAACCAGTTCATGTCCTGGTCGTACACCAAGTCATACTGACTGACTCTGGGTCAAGAGAACAACCTAGGGCCACTCAGGTTCTGCAGGTGCTAGCCATTTCGCTCTTGCCATTTGATATTTTGGTGATACTTTCCCACCGACAAATCCGCTTCAATTGTGCACTGATCCACGGGCCGTTCGTCCAAGTTCGGCGTTCAGATCAAGACCATCCAGCGGACTGGACTCTGGGCTGACTTTACCACTGTTGCATTAAAGACATGAATGTATGTAATTGATGTTGGGCTATGTATATATTGTTTCTATGTCAGCTATGATGTATACATACCTGTCCCTGTTTCCATTGCTCTGCGCCATGCTCCGCGTTCCAAGTCCTGCGATGCGGAATCGACCCTCTCACCTCAGAGAGTGCCTTGGTGGCTCGATCTTCAAAGGACTTCTCCACCTCGTACCTGTCTTCCGCGACGAGCCACGAGTTCGCGATAAGTGATGTAGGCTGAACGTCTTGCATCGGCCTTCACTCTGCATGCTTGGAAAAAGATCCACTATCTAGGCATGATGTTTTCTTACAGAAAAAATACAATGCATCAATTTAAAGGCTGCCTTGACTGAGGCTTCACAGTGGCCGTCCCTTTGGTATTTTATTTATATATATATATATATGCATCAAAACTAGTTGACACTTGCTGACTTTGCGTGATTCTACTCACCTCCCCAATAATTTCATCATGCCCTTTACGCCCTCTATACCACACCAGCTGCGTTTTGATGATGTTTGAGCATCAACCTGTGAGTTTGAAGAGCTGTCTGGGTCCAAACCCCGCCATGTTCCAGCCCGCTTTTGGGGGGATTCTCCAGATAGTGCCCACCGTGGAAACATTGATAAACACACTTTGCTCATCTTCCCAAAAAGTGGAGAGAAAAGCTTCAACCTGGTACTCTAAAAGAGGAATGGAGCAAGTTCACTCATGCCACATCAAGCACTGGAATTTCAGCGACGGTGTACGGAAAGCCAACCACCTATGCCAGCCAGGCCAGCCTCTTTCGGGTTTCTGGTGATGCACCACGGTATTTGGCAGCTTTCAAAGCCTCCAGGTCGTTTCAACTCTTCACTGTTTTTCCACCACAACCACAAATAAACATAACACCAAAAGGTCAATTAGGTGCCCCCCCCTCTGGTTGCTGTGCATATCTAGTATGTGTATATATATATATATATGATGTCTAAACTAAACAAATCTTCTTTAAATCTCATGTCTCTTTAAAATAAAAAACAAAAATCGGGGGAGGAGGCTGAGGCCCGCCAATGTGAAAACTGAAACCATGGGGCCAAATTTGGAAGGTGGTGCCGGCGCACGTCGGTTGTGACGAACTTTCTTGGCTTCGTGATGAGATGGAAGTCTGTCATGTTGCTTTCTTCTATCATCCGAGCCATCTATATAATCGAAAAAAAAAAAAAAAAACCTGTGAGCAACATCTAGGTTCAATATTGATCTTCGAATCTGCTCATAAAGCACGAAGAATCAGATCTTACCATGTGCTGATAAAGCATTGCTGGGATGCATTGGGCTTGGATGCGTGGGCACTGTTGGTGGAAATGTAAACTAGTCAACAAGCAGAAAGCGAGAGGACCGGTTTGGGGGGACCCACATGGGACTGGCATCAGGCTTCACACATCTTTTCAAGGCCTTCTCCACAGTGACCGACCTCCCCAAAATTGGCCCTTTCCTTTCCCCAAAGTGCAGAAGGCCCAGGATACTTATCGCCAGTCCGTCAGCTTCAGCCCCTGTCCTGCTCTGCTCGTCGCTTCAACTCTTGCCCTGCAGTGAAAACCGTCAGTGTCGCTCCCCTCTGCAGTCGCAGCAACTACGGGATTGACTCCAACAGCAAAAAAGACACAGAGGTCCAAATTCTGCTCCACAGCTGGCCGTCCAAGGACTTGTCCTTGCACTTTGTGTTTGCTTGGTCAATGACGCGAGTATCTTGCTAAGGACATACCCTCAAAGAGGACTTCTGGGACCTGACACCGAGATGTTGAACCCCCTTCTTGTTAGACCTGAAAAGTAAAACTCTGTGGGCACCTTAGGCCGCGCCCCCGAGGCATGCAATCTAGACCTACTAGTCAGTAAAGTACCATGAGATCTATACATTACAATCTATTGATTCTTAAATACAAAACAATAGATTATGATTATACATCACAAAACAATTAATCATACAATATATAGAACGAGGCCAACGGCCCGTGTTGATGTGTTTGATCCAAGCGGCGCGGGCTCAAGGGCCTGGGAGACGAAGAGACGTCGGAGCGATGGGGGAGGAGACATCCACCTGCTATGATGTGTTTTGTATATGCTGTTTCATTCGGAAGGTGTGAGCTGATTTCAGCTTGGAACTTAATGGAACTTATTAAAAGAAGAACCGGGTGTATGGTTTAGACCTAGCTTGCTGGGTATCAGCAGCTTTCTGCGAAACAGCCTTTAAGAAGACTTTCATTCTTGCATGGCTGTGGCAAAACAACCGCGAGACGTTTACCCATGTTGACCAACCCCAAAAACGACCTGCGCATGTCCGTCTCATGACATGTTGAGCTCATGTCCGTCTCTTGGAGTCTCTATCCGTCCGTCCTCAAACGCCCTGGTGCATGTGGTGTCCCCGAGCGGTGTCCCCGCCCCGAGATCCGTCCACCCGTTTTCACCACCCGTGTTTGGAAACATCCACTGACGAAGACTGGGGTGGGTGACTGGGCTAGACGTGACGAAGAAGACACCTGACTTGAGGATTCTACCCCCACCCCCACCCAAGACCTACCTTTTGAGCTTGCCAGGCAAATTGTGAAGATGTGTACGGGTGAAGACCAGTTATTGTACGATCGTCTTGATTGTTTGGCTCTGCAACTGTCGCAGGTTTGAAACCCTTCAGTAAATCTCTCTAATACTATGTTACTCTGATATCCTTTGCAATACTGTTTAATAGTATCCATTACCTAGTATATATATACCACTATTTCTTATATTTTACACAATAAACATGCTGTTGTAAACGTTCATTCAAAACTACTATTACATTTATGACAGTAAGCTGCAATTGATACACTACCCTGTTTAGAAAAGATCTGTTGGACATCCACATCCACATTAATTACAGTGTTTGGTTATATTTTTCATAACCATTGGACATTAATATAACCTTCCTTAGATATTTCTCTTTTACCCTTTCTACTTATCCTGCATTTTATATTGTTCAATCCGCCTATTAAAGTAGTTTGTGAGACACTGTTTAATTTTCAATGTTCAGTATCATCACTGTATTTAAACGAACTTTACTGTGCTTAAATCCCTAGCTCGTGTGATTACCGTCCAAAGCCGCTCCCCAAATTTTCTTATCACAAAGTGGTAGCAATCAAACATACTAATATCACCCTACTACCTGGGCAGAATGACAAGTTAAGCACGAAGCAAATATGATGTTTGTTCCATCAATAATCTTTTTTCAAACCCTTGTCCTCCTGACTTTGAATAGTTGTCTACATTAAATGTATCACACACTGCTACCATTTTCCTTTGCAATACTGTTTAGTAGTATCCATTACCTAGTATATATTCCCACAATTTCTTCATCTATGTTTTATACAATACATTGCAATACACATATATTTTACAAAAAAAAGAACTATTCATTTACAACTATTATCACATCTATGACAGTAAGCAATGCAATTGATACATTACCTTTTTTGATATCTATTGTAAATCCACATCCACAGTAATTACATTGTTTGGCATGGTTATATGTTCCATAAACCATTGGATTTTAATATATAACCTTCCTTAGGATTGTCTCTTTTACCCTTTCTTTTATATTGTTCAACCCGCCTATTCAAATAGCATGTGATACACTGGTGGTTAAATTCATTTCCAGTATCATCACTGTATTGAAAAGAACCTTTACTGTAATCAACTCCCTAGCTCCTGTGATTGCCGTCCACAGCCACTCCTCATCATTGTTGTCAGTGTTCTCTGCATTTCTCCTTTTTCATATGAACATTTCCGATTCTCTAGTTTCCTGATTTCATTAGATATATGTTTACAGGTGTTATGCAGAAAGGTATTTATTTCAAGCTTCGGGTTTCAGATGGTTTCAGGAAAGCGTGCAAACTTTGCAAGGTTGTAGGATTCAAGATTCAAGATTCTGGGGAAACGTTCTCGAATCCAAGCTCTGACTGACATCCAGAACCCCAACATTCGAGGGCTTGGGTTCAAGAACTTTTCCCGAGAATCTTGAATCTTAAATCCAGAAAACATGCCAAATTGGGGATGTGCTTGCACACCTTTTGGGTTTGGACATGTGTGTGTGTGCAATATGTATACATGTATATAAATATGGCACCCCCGCAATCCCTCTAAAGAAGAATTACCTTCAATAAATGACCTCGACATGTGCAGAATTCACTGTAAATACCACTGACAAGTGCAAACAGGTAGTTCTTGAGGGGTACCACATATATATATATATATATTGTTTTACATATGGATTCCGGATGGAAAGAGAACACTGAGCTTTGAAAAGCATGTTGTCTTCATTGTTTTACCAATATTGTCAATATGTTTGCTAAACATACCCAAAACTCACCTGCATTATTGTTTACTGGACACATCCATCAAAAGCAAGAGGACATAAGAGGACAGTTACATATATATATATATGTGGATCATTATGGATCAATATCCCAGACACTCCATGCATGGAGTGTATGGATGTACAGCCAGAAAAGTCGTTATCATCTGCACTCATCGTCTCACCTTTACACGGACTTCACCTAAACAAGGCTAGCTCTTTCTCTGGGGTGTCCGGCGCCCTCTCTCGGCTAGCTGCCAGGACCTGCGGCTGGGGATGGCGGGAAGCATTACTTACTGGACTTAAGGGTCATCTACTGTTGTGCTTCCCTGGAGACTCACTATTTTGAGAAACCGTTAGGCACCATCAGGACATCTTGGGTCATCTCGTACCCATCCACCAGCGCTGTGATTGCCTTTTGAAGATACAATTATGACGACATGGTAGCTAGAAAAGCAGTACCAAAATGACTGCGGCCAGTAAGGACTTGGCAGTACGTAGCGAATCATGGGAATCCAAGGTTCGTTTTCAATCATCTGGAGCGTTTCAGTTTGAAGAGCGGGCGGGTAAACATAGAAACCTGCCAAAGGCTGCGGGATTCAGGATTAAACAACAAACTTCCTCCTCCATGTGTGTTCTTTGAGTTTCTAAACAGGTCTTGGCTACGTCTTGGCTGACCAACCGCGTGGGTTTTCTTCGATTCAGCCACCTCCGCAATCTTCTGAGCAACTTCTTTATCAGGCATTTTCTGCTCCTTAAGGTGCGATGCACTGGCGAATGAAGGTGTGATGACCAGGCGAATGAAGTTGACAAGATTCGCATCAAGCCAATTCGATGACCAGGCCCATCGTGGCCATAAACTACTCTTCGTATGTCCTTTGAGAGTAGTGAGGATACTCTTTAGATATGTATTCCCACGGGTGTGTTTCAAAATCCAAAGTGTCCAAGTTTCATCAAATGTTGCCAGTATTTGGAAAAAGAAAACACTATGGAACTCCTTGACCAAAATTGACCAAACTCTCACAAAACCACTTGTCTGAAGGTTTTGCTCGGTTTTGCTGGGCCATCAGGCCAGAATCAGAATCAGCTTGAGGAAAGGAAGAATCAGCTGCGTTCCCTTCCCATCTGGCCGCATCCTCCCTGAAAATGCCCTGCAGTCAGGTTTCTTGCATGGTTTGTGCGTTGATCTAACTTCATGAATCATCGAAACATGCCCGGAATCCGCGAATTCGGGGCCCGACGAACCCTGGAAACCAGGCTGGGGAGAAGAAAAGCATGGAACATCAAGAATCAGCAGATCCAGTCACCCACGGTCAAGAGAAGGTAGGAAATCTAGAGGAAAACTCCAATTCCCGAACCAAAAAAGGGGTTCTCCTGTAGTAGATGCTCCTGTAGAACAATCAATCCCACAGCGGTCATCGCAGACCTAGCGGACCCGGGGTTGACCTCGTACTGAAAAGAATGGATGCCCAAAGGTCTCGGGGGCTTCCTCGCTGGTCACGTCTCAAGCCGTCCTTGAAAGGCTCTGGTTGGTACTGTCTACCATAGCGCTGTGGTTTGGAAGTGCTTTGCATTCAACCACATCCCATGAGATTCGAGCTGGCCACTGATGGAGAGTCGCGCAAGACATTCCCTGCGCGAGTCGCGCTGCAGCGAGCGCGACTCACGCGCGTGCCGCCCAGCACTGGTCTCCTCGACTTTCATCTTGCCCAGCTTCTCATACCTGGCGCCATGCGTCATGGCTGGTGCTAGGTGCCCAAAGTCAGGGCTTTTCCTTACATACCTATACCTGGGCCCTGATAGCCATTCACAATCCCATACGAAGCAGGAAGCACTACAAGGTGCAGTGATGTGTAGTGTACGATCCATGATCTCCTTTCCAGCGTTTGGGGATCGTTTCTGGACTGCTTCGACAGTCGAGACTTACTTGGAGCTCAACTCAAAAGAACATGGATGTGGGCCGATCATTTGTGGAACATGTTCTGAACAACCCAAAAACCCACTCCATCACCATTGTTCGTAAGGCCCTACAGGTGGGGCTTGATCGCCAACATGTGATGAAACTAGTGACATCATGTGACATCTACTGACCATTGACATCCGTTGACCATAAGCATGAAAAGGCTCCAGAATCTTACATTGTTGAGGTGAGTACACATTCTTAGATCCTGTCACAGTACAGGTGCGTCTCGGTCAAGCAACAACCACCCTTACAACAAAAGCCGTGATACCACGGACTAGAGCTATAATGTAGACAGCTGATAAATCAGAACCCCTGCCAGAATGGTTTTACATCATTTTACATCTCCGTATGTTCGTGTTTTCATTTATCAAGAGTCTTTAGATGAAACAAAAACGTTCACATATGTTCGCCTCCAAAAAAAGACACACAACCACCGGACGGGCCTAACAGGATGTCCACCAAATGCATGCCGCTGCGAACCTCCCAGATTCTGGCAGCTTGCAAACTCCTTTTCGGTGACGCGCTGCTCCGGCCTGGCGCCGGTGCAGTTGTTCGACCGTCGGTCCGTCCCTGCACTCCGTTCGAGACATACAATGAGTCTTCTTCAAATAGTAGACCAAACAATTCAGGGCTGGGCCAACCAACACATATTTGAAACCATTTCATACCATTTCCATGGCCTGAGAAAGTATGCAAAGGTTCACGTCGGACGTGAAAACGATCAAACTGATTTCTAGAAGACTTGAAACTCAAACAGGTTCACTGAAATACCAAAGTTAATCCCAAATCCCAACCTGGGTTCCTACAAGTATGGTCTTAAGGTATGAAAAGAGTGTCTATTCATGAGATAAAGTTATCTTTTCCACTCGTGGAACTGCTGCAAAGTGGATGTTTCCCTCCATGATTAAGACAAGTACCCCAAGCGTCCATCATGACCCAAAGCCCACAGGTTCTCCACTCTGCAGCACTTGAAGTTCTTCAGCTAGCCATGTTAGACGCGCTGAAGCGAAGCTAACTCATGATGGATGGTTGTGAAGGTCTTTTCCCTTTGTTTAGAGCTCTGCGCTCAACCAAGAAGCCAAGTTTGCACTCATCCCAACTGAACTAAAGGTCATGTCGACAGGAACAGCTATAGAAAACCACGGAACACCCGCTCTTGTGGAGAGATTTTGGTCCCGTTCCCCAGAACAGCCTGACGGAGATAAAACAAAACCCAAACCCCCGGTCCTCGCTGGCGGAGATTGGAGGTGAGAACTGCGGAAGACTCTCCATGGGAAGCATCCCTACGGTGGTCTTTAGACCTGGTGGCCCGGTGGGACTCCCCGGAAGGACCCTTCTCTGGAGCCCAAAATCACGGGTTTCACGTGAGATGTGATAAGAACTGCTCAGGATTCGTTTCAAACCAACGATCTGGCCATAAACACCTTGAACATCCTTGAACCTTGCAAAGTTATCCTCTTCAAATTCTTGCCACACCCAGGATTCCAGCAAATACATCAAAAACCTGACCTGATGTTAGACCTGTATCATCTCAAGTCTTCAAAGCCCAGCCATGTCCTCTTGCCAGCTAAAAGGCCATGCCATGCAGCTTAAGCCCAGCTGTTTCGGCCAGGCTTTGTCTTCAAAGCACAGAACTTCTTCTTGAAGACCGCACATGGCCTGGCGGTTCGGTGCGTCCCACTCTCAGAGCGGCTTGTGCGTGCGGTTCCGAACACCCCTTGTCTCGGCTCTTAGCAGCACGAGGTGCCCGCTTAGCACATCTGACCTGTCGTAGATGTGGATTGGTCTCAAAAGGTCTCAAAGTTCCACAGACCTCATCATCAAACGGCCAACCGCACCCCATTTGGGGGCCTTGCACCGCAGGCCAAGGCCATGAAGGCCTTGCCCACTGCAAAACGATCCTCCCACCCGCTGGAGATCGTTGGATCTGACCACTGGTCTAGTGGAGATCCGGCCGAGTGGCCCATGATTGATCTGGTCTTTTTGATGTTCTAGCAAGGCCCTATTCCATCTACTCGCATGCGAATTGAAAACAACTGCTCACTTGTTTCCATCAACATGTGATCTTTGCACTTGTTACAAACGTTGTGAAACGGACACAGGCTGGAGTCTATGGCTTCTTGGGCCTTGCTGGACAAGCTAGCACGAAAAAGGCACGCAGGCTGCAGTGCTTGCAAAGAATTGCCTCTGGCCATCCTGATGCTTGACATATTTGAATGGAAAGGCCACACTATGCCGCACGTCTCGACATAAGCAACAGAACCTGCACCTGCTGTCCGGCTCAGGAGTCGTGTTGTCCGGCTCAGGAGTGGTGTTGGGTTCATATGCTGCACATTGCTGAAAAACCAGTGGAGTTTAGGCTCAAAAGTCCGGTCGAACAACACGTTGATGGTGCTCTTAGTATAATGAGTGTTCCTCTTACGTCCTCTTACAAGGCGCATGCGCCTAGGAAGAGCTGTAAGGCAGGAGCTGCAATTGGTGACGATCCGCACAGGTTTACACTGAAATGACTTCATGGGTGGAAACCTTCCGACCACATCATGAGTGATCTGAAGATGCATGGGAAAAACACGCCAAAACACCTTGGTAACAATTCAGTCAATGAGGTCTGGCTTTAAATGGTTTTCCTGACGAAGTGTTGTTGATAACTCCACCGAAGCTTGCCAGAGGCGGCTCAGGAGTTCTGGGGACCTTGGACGATAGGTGGACGACGATAGGCGGCTCCGCTGATGTTTCTAAAGCTCAGTGATGTATCAGGAAACCAACGTCTGTTTCAAGTGATGCCATTGACTTGGAACCCACTTACTCGGAGATGCAAAGTGAACACCCAGCTGAGCGGTCGGTCTGCGTGAAAATCTGCTATTTCTTGTCGTTCTGGGCTTGTCTCACAGGCATTTTCACAAGTGTGAAAGCCAATGCAGGAAGCGCATCCTCGCGCTTCCGGCGTCTCAACAGCGCATTGGTGCGTTGACAGTTGCATTGGGCCATTTGGCACCGTCCCCCATGACGAATTTAACACACATTGACATTCAATGACATTGCCTTGGTGCTTCTCACAGCCGGAACCAAGGTTGCGCACCTTTCATCGACCGCCTCTGTGATGAGGATCATATTCACATGACTTTCTGCATTCACAAGTCTTAACGGATTTCTTAACCTTTCAATGTGAGTGATTTGAACTGTCAAATACTCAGAGAAACACCTGTCAATGATTTGGATGGCGTGCCATCATCTCCTCATGGGCAAAATTGGCGGCTGAAACCACGCCAACATGCGCATCGAATTAACCTACCCCCATGGTTAAGAAAAGGCCATGGGCAGAAAAAAACTAAAACAACTATATAGCCCCTAAGAAATTGTCGCCCTCACACACTCGCGCTCGCCGCACGGAGGACTTCACGATGCCCCTGTGTCAGGGCAGCTGCATGTCTATAGCCGGTTGTCCCCAGCACCCCACAAGTCTAGTCCATCTTGAAATTGCAGGCGCGGCTACGGCCACGATATTTCAGCTTTGTTGGGAGCTGTTGCTGGGGGGACTATGCAAGGTCTACACTTCAATCATATCCATTTGCAACACTGGAATGCTGGCATCTAATATTAGATGCATCATGGCATCTGAAGCTTGAGATGTTGCCACCATACCTCCGCCTCCACAGCTTCCCGAACCATTTTGTACCTCCATGGCCTCACGAACTGATCCGATGCCGAATGGCTGGGGAGGATGAATGCCGAGGACAGCCACCTCGTAGATGCTCATGCGGCCCTCGATCGCGGTCAGATCAGTGATGCGAGCTGTTTTTTCCTGCATCAGTGAAAGGACAATCTGTTCCAAATTACAAACACAGCTTCATGACAAAGACTTTTGGGCTCAAGTTGAGACCAACCAAGCGACAAGGCAAAAGGAGGTGTGCACTGCTTCTTTGAATTTCTTTACTACATAATCTTGAGAAAACCTAGAGGGGCACAGAGTCCTCAGAGTCTTTGCTGACGATGACTTCCGACCCCACCATCATGTGTTGCACACGAATGGCGCCCTCTGGGGATAACAGCTTCTCTCCTGGAGGGGTCTAGGCAGTCTAGGCCACTTCCATGACAATCACTTTGTTTGATCCGTCTGGTCTTCCTTGACTGCATGTGGTTTTTCCGTCCAAAACGCTACCCCCACTTCCACTTCGGCTAAAAACCACAGTTCGTTGTACCACGCGTTGCGTTCCAAACAGGCACAATGAAACACATATATAGTATTAGTAATGGCCTAGTTGAATATTCTACGTGCTGAGTTCACAATTTTGGTCAACACCATGTCCTTGCATCACCTGGTATAGACCGCCAATCTGCAGCCGGATGATGGAGACGGCTTGCTCCTGACTGGCCGGGTCGAACCAAAACCACAGCCGCTTCACAGGCAAACAAAGAAAGACGCAGAAAGACGCAACCAAAACGTATCTTTGAAAAGGCACGTTGGTATTCTCTGCTAAACACAGCATGTACATTATAGTTTATATGTGTAAATACACCCTGGGAGTCAAAGACTATAAAAAGAATGGTCTTTAGGTGACCCGAGTCAAGGAATATGCTTTACCTCAGTCGGGTAAAACATAGTCTTTGGACTTCTAGGGTACATATATTGTTTTTATATCCCAACCCCACCGGCCGCCCACGCCTCGAAGAGTTTGAGGTTCACAACTTTCATCACTCGACCTGCTTGATCTGCCAGGCGATCTGCCAGGCCTGGTCGAAACAGGTCGGTGTTCGTGTTTGGACCAACCTTTTTTTCGGGCATATAGCTGTGGTAAAGTCTTCCGGCTTTGACCCTATAGCCATATTACAATCAATCTCATGAACCGTGGGCGCTGCTTATGGATGCTGGTCATCTCTGATCAACATTCGCTAGCCATACAACGAATGGGCACCAAAAAAAAGACGTTCAAAGACCCCTCAAAGCACCAAAAACGCCGGGCCGACGGACAGACTTCACCTCTGCCAAGGCACACAGATGCTCGACGCTGACGGTCTGCCCCTCGGGAGTCTGAAAGATGGTCCGAGGCAGGAACTTCTTGCGGGGCGCCCGACTCGGCACGTCCATCTGGCCTGCCCGCAGTTCATCGATGGCCACTTGGATGCGCTGCAAGGGCAGAAAAAGCGGTGTCCGTGGAATGCTCTCTAAGCGCAGCATGCAGAAGATTGGAGACGATTCACGGAAGGTCACCTGGACGCTCAGGCATTTCGACTGACAAAGGAGCTCATAGTCGTCCTTGTTCTCGAGCCAGGCACGGTAGGTGCCAAACGCGTCCGCGGTAATGCGGCTGCAGCCCCCTTGAAAGTGGTAGGTTCCGGCTGACCAAAAGTTGGGCTCGATGCGGAACTCATGGACCAAAGACAAGAATTCCTGATTGAAGGCGAGTCCGGCTTTGTCGCCACTCCATTCAGGGATTGCATGAATCCAATCTTTTGGTCCCAATGCAGGATCCTCCATGTGGGTGCAGTAGATGGGCTGCCCTGGCAAGACTTCTGGGTTGGTCAAATGGAAGAAGAAAAATCCTTCAGGTCCCCATTGAAGCATTGCAGGAACCGCCATGGTCGAGTGGGTCGTGCCAATCGGGTCTCTCATAAACTGCTGCGATAGAATGAATCAAACTGGCATACATGTTGCAACTTGCCGTCAGGTATGGACATGTCGTTTGGAAGGCTGACGACACTTCTCTGCAAAACGCCCTAATACTCTATGGAGAAGGGACCAAAATACCACAATGATTGGTCTTAAACTCTACTACAGCATTACACATCTGATGAGTTACATATCTGCCGCGCTTGATCAGCGCTTGATCTCTCTCTCTCTCTACCCACTGCGCATAACCCCATAAATCTATCCAGACATGTCGACTGTCGCGAGGACTCGTCGCGTCGACTCCACATCTGAAGCTTACCCAGACATGACACTCGGGACTGGCATATGTACCACCCCATGGACCAATGGACCCCAACCACCCCGATCGGCCGTGCCACTCGGCAGTCCGACATGGCAGTCCCAGACGGGTCGTGCCTGGGTGAAAACGAACGGAACGTCACCGACTCGACGTCCCCGACGGAACGTCACCATCGACGCACCAAAGGGACGAAAGAAAACGAGGATGTTCGGATGTTCCGGACCAAACATCACGGGGGGGGCATGTTAATCCTGACATATCCTGGAACTCACATTGGAACAGGGCATGTTATAAAGAGGGGATCTTCTGGAACTCACATTGGAAGAGCATTTTCCTTGGGACTTTCTGTTTTCTATGCGAGTTCCAGGGAGAGCAGTCATGATGGGTGCTCCTGGCAGCAAAGCCTCTTTGTTATTTTCTGGATGCATTCGGCGTGAGACTTGAACCTCTGATCGTTGAGCCTGTGTCGAGTCAGAGATCCAAAGTGAAGCAGCGCAAGCGCGGCACGAATGAATGCCAGCTTCCCTTATATCGATATATCATACTTTAACGGGAGGATCCATGGCGAGATAGCAAGAGCGATAATCAAATCGCAGGGATCTGTGCTAGTGCAGGTCGCAAAGGTCTCCTGTCCGACAGGTCTTGAAAGTGACGCTTGATTCGGGTTCCTAAGTGACCTCAAACTGGGCCTATATAAGTGACCTCAAACTCGCGACACCCCTATTCATATGGTCACTTTGAAGTACATGTTCAATGTCTCAGAATTTTGAAATTGATTGAAGGATATTGAAGGTCAGTTTATATAGACCTTTTGGCACTGAAGAACCGTCACATGTTTAGATGCTTGATAGATAAGTTCAATGCAACTTTGATGAGAATTTATGCCGCACTAGCTAAGGGAGTCCTACACAGTACACTGCTGCAAGCACAACTTCTGTATGCCCGGCAGCTTGACTAACATCTACGGTTTCTCCACAACATGCTCATGTTTAAGCAACAATCTCAACGAGAAACAAGGGGAGTGCTTGAAAATCGCGGAAGACTGCGAAAATTGACGGTGCTTCCGCGTTGTCCACGGTGGTATCAAATCGATCTCCCTGGCTGTTCAGCAGCGGCGGCTCCACATCTGTTGGAGATCCTTTACAGTAGCGTCCAACGAGCACTCTGGCCACGACCAAGACTTTGGTCCCATCTGCCCCACCCTTCTTTCCACAGAAGCGCATGGAATATCGTGGATCTGAGGAGAAGTAGGTGGCATGACCTAACAAGGTGCCATGCCGTCCTGCAAAGCTCCGATTGAAGCCCTGCTTCAATATCTTTGGCACGAAGCTCCACGCAGTGCCATGCCAAAGATCTCGTTCTTCCGGCTGCTGGCGCTGCTGGTCTGGGCCTGCCCCCTGAGCCATGGTGGACTTTAAGGCTTCATAGACATTCGCCTGTCCTCCTTAGATGTTCAAAGCACTTCAGGCCATGTGTTCTTCCCAAACCAGATCTGGGGATCTCCAAACAAAAAGGGCAAAACCGCTGAAACAATCTGGGCTTCCCAGCACACGATAAATTCCCAAGATGTGCGCCTCCGGTATCCTCTCCTCTAGCTCGTCTCTCAACCTTCGCTCATCCGTCTCTTTAGCTTCTGCAATCAGCTTGCTCTCCAACAAAAGCCCCGTACTCACCATCTCTGCGTCAGACCGTCCCGGAACCGCCTCACCCGGAACCGCACTGGCAGCCTTTCCCATCGCTGGACTGGTCCACTTCAACCGGAAGGACGAGGACGATTTGCGCCGGTCGGCAGGGCGAAAGACTGGGGTCGCGCTGGGCGAGGGCGAGCGCGGCCCTGGGTGGCACGGGTTTCGGAGTTGTGGCAGGGTTTGGTGGCGGGTGGGTTGTTCGTTGGCTTCGGAGTGTTTTTGCGCTGCATGCCAACAGGATGCCATGAGTCAAGAAACATAGTTTAGGTAATCATGGCAAAAGCATGCAAAAGCCGCTATTGATTTCATTGTTGGTTCTTTGGGGATCTTGACCGCACTTGTCTCAATGGGAAACAGCATATATAAGGCTTCAGTTTAGCGTTTTGACATGCCCTCTGATGATTCATCAGTGGGCCATGTCAAAAAGCTATAGGAATAGAAGAGGGGGGCCACCTGGAGATACTTGAAAGATTTCTAGAAACTCTGAGACACTGGAGATATGTTCATGAAGCTACTCCAAGCCTATAGTAGAGATTCTCGTGAGCTCTCATGCAAAAATCAAAGAGCAGCGCAGCAAACCCACCATCACTCACCCACCTCCAGGTATTGAAAACATCAACTGAAACTCAAGCTCTAAAGCAAATGCATATATATATTATTTATTTACTTCATATTGTATTGAGTTTATATGTTTAACATCAGTCTTTTGAAAGGTGCTCTCACCGCCCACCGGTCACCCACGGCGTGTCTCACCGAGCTGCGACTCTTGGGTCTCACCGCGGGCGACGCACGCCGCACGGCGCTGCAGCTGCGCTGGTGCGCGGCGAGGAGATCGGGGCGGAACTGGCGAGCACAGAAGGAACAACGCTCCAGTTGATTGCCTGAAGTGGATTGGGTGAACTGTTCGGTCCACCTGAAAAACACTGGGCTCATGACCAAGTCGACCAGTTCCTGGATTTGAGATTTCGTCAATTTACTCCCAAGCCAGTGCTCAGGAGAGAGTGGGCCTCCTTGGGAGTATTACCCGTCATTCCTAAGGATAGAAGCGCTTGCAGCGATTGAGAGGTGCAGCGACTGAGGCATGTTGAGAGGTGGCAACAGGTGGTCGACAGGGCCCCGGATGATCCAAATCGATTCGCGCCGTCTATGGCCATCCATGGCCTATGATTCTTTCAGTTGGGTACTTGCCACCCAAAGCATGGCATCTGGCCTTGATTGGCCTTCACACACACACACACACCAAACAACTCAAACTACGGCCCGGCTTGACAAAGAACGGCCCCGGCTTTTCTCTAGTTCGGAATTGCAGTTGTTTGTCCCAAGACCCTGGCTCCGAGTATAGCCACATTACATTGAAAGAACGATCTGTCCTCCAATCTCTTACTATGACAGATTTATTTGGGACATGCTCAGGCTCCTCAGGCTGGGGTGACTCAGGGAATCCAAACAATTTAACAGAACATAGAGCTTGGTCTAGGGAGCATCCGTATCCGCCTCGGGTCTGCTATGGTCCAAGCTGGAACGCTCTTAAACATACTGGCGACCCTGGACTCTTATTATTACCATTGGACCCAGGCCTGCCACTATTGGACCAGGCCTGCCACTGGTGGCCTGGTGGCCCCAGGCCTTGCACTGGGCCCAGCGAAAAAAGGGATAGATCCAAACGATAGATCCGGTGTTGTACGGTGTTGTACTTGGTTCTTTTCCGAAGCCTTATGGTTTGTCATTGGCATGTGTTGGCCTGTCGATGCGAGCATATAGGAACTTTCAACTGGCTGGCTTGGGTTAAGCTTCGGATGAGCAGTTGTGTGCGACATCGTTGGAATGTGCAACGCAAACCATGCTCCGGAATTCATTGCAAAAAAACACATCATTGCAAAAACAAAAAAAAACGTCTGTGTCAACAGTAACTGCTCATTGAATCCCAGAATTGCAAAAACGAGCTTCAAAAAGCCGTGTAGGAGTTCACCGCGGCAGGTGGCGGCCCCGCCAGCGTCACGCGACGTCGCTCCGGCCGTCGATCCACCTTCTCGCTGCGCTCGTTGTGCTCCAGTCGGGGCCGTTGAAGACAAACCCGTTGATGAGTGGCCAAGCGATCTGGATGGAAGGTGCGCTTGCAATGTTCACATGGCATCAACTTGGATGGATAGGAAGCCATCTGCGGTGCTGGATAGGAAGCCTCATCATCTGGGGCATCTGATTGTTTTCCCAGGCTGGTCATGCCTCTCATGACTTCGTAGTGATGCTCTAGACTCTCACCCTCAGGAACTTCGGATTCATCCAGTAAACGACAGCGTTCCGAGGGGTGTCGCTGGGACTCACGAAGCTCAAATCGGCGCCGGCATGCTTTCAAGTGAATGTCTAAAGACTTGTGGGTCAAATATTTTTGTCCACAAATGTAGCATCGCAGAGGAGCTGGCGGCGCTCGCTTTTCGAGGACGGTATCGTCAACGAAAGACAAGCCTGACATACAAAGCTCCAGGGCCTTTCTCTCATCGCCGCCACACACGTGCAAAGCAACTTTGGCGATTTCAGGACCAAAGCCCATATCTTGAAGTCTGGAGACACTCTTGGCATCATTGCCGTTCTTCTGTGCTTCTAGAAGTACCCGATGTAGGAAGCGATCATCCGAAAAATGCAGTCTCGGTCCTCCAGCCGCATCGTCTATCTGAGCATCGTCTGCGCCAAATGACATGAGAGCAGCTCGGAAAGGTGTGCACTCTGGGAGCACATCTGCATGCGGTCGGTGATGAGCAACCAACACGAGTACTAGGTTTGATTCCTTTTTTTTGCAAGCTTATGTGACAGGCTGGTCATATGGATCTTAGAGGGATAACATGGTCACCATCATGTAACTGGAACATATTGGAACCATGAGAGGGTCAAGGAATGTCAAGGAGATGGATGCCAAAAACAAGGTCCTCTCATGGCTCTGAGCCGGTCTGTAGCTGGTCTGAAGCGGTCAAACTGGCTATGAAAGTAAAGACCCTGTCCGTACCAAGCTAGAGCAACTTGAGATTGTTCTCAAACTGGGTTGTCAGGTGTGGAGATGGTTCTGGTTTCCACAAACAGGAAGACTTGCCAGGTGCATCAACGCCTCCCCCAAAAAAGGAGCGTCCCCCTGGTCCCCAAACCGGTGGTTTAACACAAGTGAAGCCGAGGTGTTCACATGACCATCCAAGCAAACACATAGCTGGACCTCAACATGAATGGCTGCAGGTGCCAGCCAACTAAACATCACATGACTCGCAAATGGTCGAAAGGTGCGTAATATAGTAGGTCGAGAAAGGGTTGTCTTAACCTGACATCTTCTGATCAACTGGATGTTCATTGGTCCTAGAACCCATTGACCTCCTTTTTGATAGAAAAAGACCATATTTGGGATAGTGGATCTTCCAAAACAGGGGTCATTCAGGGTCATTCAGGTCTATAGGGAGACTCTCTAGGTCGTTGCTGACAGTACATGATCAGGCAGGACACTCTCCGACTTGCCCCGCATTGGGAAGTCGTCTTGGGAAGTCGGTCCCACCGACCTGGGATTCCCCGACGGTGTCCCGGCGCCGGAACCCAACGGCAGCTTGCGTTCCGAGAGAAATCTCTCTGGCACTCATCTGCCCAGATTTGTCCATTGATGTTCATCTGCTGAAAGGTTCATGCAAGTGCCCAGGTACCACTAAACTACATCCTCTGAGATGTGGCCTCCAAGTCACAGTGATCAGCTGCAAATCATCATACAAATCAAGTGATCAGCGGATGTCGGAAGTGAGGTTCATCCCAGGAGGCCGGGCTGTGCCCCAAAATACCAGAGCTGCATTCTGTCTTTTGTTGTAGGACCAATAACACGGTCATGTCTCGCCCCTAAAACCGGTCCTTGCTTGTCATGAGACCCTGCTCCAGTGCGACCCTGCTGTTGATCTCATGAGCCAACGGCCACAGTGGAAGATGGCAATGCAACAAACACACTTCGCGCTGAAGCAAGAGGTCATCACAGCCACCAAAATGGTGGGAAGGGTCTTTCATGGTCTTCCAGGAGGGGAGTCTTCCATTGCATTGTCAAATGACGATCGATTGAAACAAAACACATACAAAACCAATTGAACGGTGGTGCAGGATTTTCTGCCAGATGTCCGAGATGTCCTCAGTTTTAGACAGCGTACCCGGGAAGACTCTTTGTAGAAACAGCTTCCGGAGCGAGCAAAAGGGCATGAAGCACTCCGGGCACTTCGTATCTTCTAGACTTCAATTGGCAGGTATCATGAAACGTCAGGACTGGACATCTCGGAAAAAAAACAAAAAACGGGAGAGCACAGACTGACTGAATCATGGACTTCATCGACAAAGCAGCAAGCACACTTCCAGTGGCATCTCTATGTGATGAGATGAACTCTTACCTTCTCTTACCGTCTATTGAAACCTTTTGAAACCCGGACTTGTTCCTATCACTCCCCTTGGGCACCTCAATCTCAAGGATGCAACACTGAGTGATTTGAGCCAAAGGGGCAGTGCAAAGGAATCGGCCCGGTCCTCAAGCAGTGAATAAGTCAAAAACATCCTTTATGTTGGAAGTGGTCTTTGCAACTTTTGCCAGTGATATGTTTGAAAGGGCCTTCTAACACTGCGCACAGGAGCTAGCATCTGCACTTGATGTTTCTTGATTAAGTCAAGTCTAAAGGTTTCTGCGCAGATCAAGCACACCTGGAGGTCTCAAAAAGCATGGAACGGATACTGGATACTGGAGCCACCTGGTGGCATAGAATCCGTGGAATTGGCATCAAGGGTCCTGAGGCACTAGGCATATCCAGGCATTCCCAAATGATTCCCCAAACATGTCTATCATGACTCAGCAAAGCAACGCTGTACCCAACTATTTGGAAAGCATTTCGGACTGCTACTGTTCCAGTGGTCCAAAAAAGCACAAGCCCTGGCAAATGACTGCCTGGCAGATTGCCGTGGAGGCCTTAGCAGGTCAGGCTGGACAAGGGTTGCACAACGGGTTTAACAGTTTTATCTTGATTCAATCATTTCTAGTCCAAAGTGCAGAGAATCTTGGAGGCCCCAAATGAACGAGCGGATCGATCCAAAGTATTCAAGTGGGCAGCTGACCATGCGAGTGTTCTTGATAGCATGAAACATTCTGAACTCGATGTGAGGCCCTGGCCACTGCCCTAACAACCCTTTCTTCATGTTTCTTCTATAATCTTCTATATATCTGATCACAAGTGATCCTTCGTCTTTTCGAAGCCGCCCAAAAGTCACACGTTTCGATCGTTAACGTGCTGGTTCCTTTTCATCCCTTTTCAATGGACGGTGATCTCCATCCTCACAAAGTTCTGGGTCATGGTTCAGTCTCCGCTCTCACGTCTGGGTTTCTTTCATGATGGGTGCTTGTTGGTTCAACAAAGGTCCTTAGACTGTAGACTCCATACTAGTAGATGAAGATGCAACTGTCCACAACGTCTGTATAAGCCTTCCCCTTCATGAACATTGCTTCATCGTGTTTCATCAAATTACGGTACTTCATTTAAACTTTGGTTCTTGCAGACCAGGAAAAACAAATTCTAGACGAGGGAGGATCTAGTAATCTATAGCGGTCTAAGGCAAACATGGCTGTCGTTCAAGAATGGTCGCCCAAGGGTCTCCCGCAGCAATTTACCTGGCCATGTTACTCAAATTCATGAAGAATATCAGTTCCAAAAGGGAACATTTCATGGCGCAACACTCGATCCCTGACACTGACAAGCCAGCCCGACTCTACCTCCTTCTACCTCCTTCTACCTCGACTCTACGAGCTTTTCCTTCATAGGTCGCGACGTGTGGCATCTCCGTTTCGACGGATGCATGGAGGCAGTGTCCACGGTTTCTGGGGGACGCCGGTGTCCGTCTCGTCGTTGACGCACGCTGCGGTGAAACACCGGTCGGTCCCCCCACGTCGGAGTGACATGCTCCACTTCCTGCCGAAGCCTCAGAACCACGGAAAGCTGGTGGTCCCAGAACCACGGAGGTGGCGAGAAGTCGAGGTCTGAGTGGAAGCGGTGTTTCAACAGGTGTGGCGAGCGCAACGAGAAGCATCCAGGTCACCAAACGTGACACGTGACTGTGCGGGAAAATGACGTTGGGAAACAAAACATCATCAGGGATGCAAGCTCCAGACTTGGTACGTATATACATACCATTACATACCGCATAACCATCATGCAGGAAACAAGTGGAGCGAACCCTACATGGAACCCAGACCGAACAGTCACGTCCGACGTCTTTCGCCGTCGACGTGTGTGACGTCGTGCGATCGACGTGTCCTTGGGGATACGTTGTCCGATGCCAGGTGTTTGGCAGTGTTTAACGGGACGAACACGGCTAAGGAACTTGTCAAGCAAGCCGAAAGATATCAAATTATAATGCTTCATGTTGATTTAACTATTATATACATTTATAGACTATATAGAGGCTCCAAAAAGGAAGGTTGGCATGGGCGTCTCTGAACACGTATATATATATATATAATATATATATATACATTGTTTCGTTCTCCATGTCTTGTTTCGCAGGAAGAGGAGCAGGCTGAAGAGGAGCAGCCCAAAAATCTCAACTTCGAAACCCCCCACATCAAAACCACCCACTTGGAGGTTCTTCGCCCGCCGTCTTCCCACCCGCTGTCTTCCGGACGATGCTTTCGACCGCGACCTCCGGTCCGCTTCCGAGACGGACCGCCTCCGGCGTTGTGGTGTAGAAGGGATACCAGCCACCTGGAGGGAGTGGAAGATCTCTCGCTTCTCGCTGGATTTGTTTGAAATCGGTGCCCGTGGTTTTTCAACGGAGCCTAAAAGCCTGACCATCAACCAGGATCCGGCATCAAAAGTTCTAATAGATTTCTATGGCATCGCATCCATGGTGGTTTGCAGTCTCTGTGCACGAACTGGTCGTTCTTCCATCATGCTTCATACAAAGTCAGAACTGGTAACCAGACTTCCCGATATCTAGAAGATGCAGCCACCCCTTCGCTTCATGTCAAATCCCACCTCTGCCCACGCGTTCTGATCGATTCCATCGAAATGTGCCTCTTAAATCCTCTTAAGACTGATTCGAGCTGTCGGGATACACGTATCTGTGGACGCTCGTCTCATGTTGGCAACAAGACCCATGGTTCTGGTGAAACATCGGTACGGAACCCCCCATGTATGGATCCGAGTCAAGGACAAATGAAACATAGGTTTCACCATGTTTCAGCCATATTCTGTTCCACTCGAAGGTGGATGCACATAAAGAGGAGCCTGTACAGTATCTGAATCGTATCTGTTGTTCGATGCACGGAAAATGGCATCTGAATTGCCTGGCGTATACATTACCACTTGCCATCAACATCGATCACATCGATCTTTGTTCGCCAGACTCTCCACCCTTGAGTGACTGAGATGATGACCATTGATGAGGTGATGATGAGCTCCGGTGATGATAACTCTCTTTGTTTGACCTTCGGTACATGACCATTGATGACCTCGGAGGTCCACGAAATGACCCTGACCACGGAGCCCCCCGACCGAGCGACGCCTGGAGGGGCCGCTTGAGGTTCGACGTCCGAGCCATGGCGTTTCGTTCCGTTTCCGGTTCACCCGGTGGAGGAGCCGCGGGGCGCGGGGCGGTGAGATGAAGTATGTTGGAATTCATGGCCAAGTCATGTAGAGTTCTGGAGCCCGGGATTCTGCATGATCGGCCGAAAAACCTGGTTCGGTTCCTGGAAATGAAGCACTTGTCCAATCAGCTATGCACTGCTGCTATGCTTCACGCTTCCCCAGCTTCCCCACGCTGAGGTTGGCTTTCAAGCCTCCCAGCTGAGTGACGTCACAGGTTCCGGCGCACGTCGACGGTGCACCACAGGGTGAGGACCAATCCACGGACCAACGACCAAAAGAGGCCCCTCAATCTGTTTTAGATAAGTGATAGGCACAGAAAGCGAGGTCAAGCGTCACTGGTGTCTGAAATTTTTCATCAGCTGAAAATACTTGCCATTTCCTGATCACATCCACTGACATGAAAGTGAAAAAACCGCGCGTGCTAACAAACACCATACGCTCGCTGCAACGCCTCGCTGCATTTTCCCCGGTTCAGCAACTCCAGGACCAGTTGAGCATTGTTGCCACCATTGGTCAAGTTATTGGCTCACCAGGAATCCGTTGCTGTGAAACCACCGGCACGATCATTTTCAGGTACATGTTCCCCACGAGCCAATTCTTTATGGAATCTAATCGAGTTTTGATGGTGCTGATGACTCTGCGAAAGGATTCATGCTGCTAGTTTGTAGAATTCCCGTCGTGCAACAATGCTCTGGTCCTCCCCAGGTCCCAAAAAAACTCACATCAAATGCGGTTGGGCAGTCAACTCCCTTGCCTGCTTGACAACTACTATATGACTGGCAACGAGGCACATCGGTCTGAATAGACAACAAAGCTGCCGAAGTCGCATGCTAATTGAATTGTGCCACTGTCTGCCATGAGGAAAACATCTGTCTTCAATCTGTCTGCCTATGTTCATGTTCTATGGGCCAGTTTTGCTATCCTCAAATTGAGTGTAGTCGCATTTGTTTGGCCACAAGACAGTCATCCTATCTGCTAACATGTACAAATAGCATTGAATACCCTCACACCCAGAGCAACCCTCTGTAGTCATTCCAGCAGCTTCGTCATGTGGATCTCAAGGGGGGTTCTAAAGGACCCACTGCAGGGTTTGGCTCATCAGAATAGATGTTCCCATCTTTTGTGCATCAGAGTTTGGCTTTGCTTCGCAAAGGTTCTGTTTCCTACCCGACCACGGATCCAAACTCTCTCGCCGAGAGTGAAACCCCGCGGCTGCGACGCAGCGAAGCATCGCGGCTGAGCATGGCAACGTACTGTACTTGTTTAATGATTGTTTTAATGGCGGAATCTAGGGTTGAATCTTGTTTAAATAATTGAGCGATCAATAATATTGAATGATTGAATGACATGTCATTGAAGATCATTTTGAATCATCCAGCTATCACAATGATTGCCCAAAGTCTTCTGCAAGTGTGTTGTATACACATTGACCAAACTTTGTGACGGTCATTTCTAGGTCGGTGCCAAAGACAATGATTGGATGGCGCCCATTTCAGGACTCCTTCTTTTCAAGTTTCTTCATGTCCACGCGAAATCGCTCATCCAAGGATGCTGAACCTCCACTCGCCGCTTGAATCGAACTGCTGCCCGGGTTTCGCACTCGGATCTGGGGACTGGGAACTTAGCGGCATCTGCTCCCTCCAACAATCACTACTGTATATTATACACTGTAATATATTATATACTCAACATATATAAATATCATATATATCAAAATGCGTTTACAGTAAGTGTATCGTTGCCAAACTAAGGCTTTGGGATGGTTGGGTGTACAAAATCACTAAGGCGAGTGGTCTCCTGAGCTATTCACTGCCGACTTCTTGCTCCTTGCTCATTTATCTATCTATCCCTGAATCATTTGGCAAGATGTGGCAAGTCAACAATTACACCAATTCACGTGCAGCCCAAAAATTCGCCAAGTCACACCACTTTCCCGATAGAGCGCTCACCCTCCAAGAGCAAGGGGAAGCAATTTCAACTGGGAATCCACCGGAAAAACAAGGGGCAAATGAACTGTTGGAATGGGACAAATGATGAAACAAGTTCTATACTGCATAAGTTGGAAGGAAGAATGATTTGTAACATTGCCAGGCTACGGATTTCTTTGCTTGGCCGATCCTTTCACGGAATTTCATCAACTTCCCAACCTGATTTGGTGATGCACTTGTCATCGCCTTGACTTCAAACCCATTCGCTCAGGTCGCTTGGGCCGGGCGATTGGTCCAACACGTCCACGCGCGAGGACAGAAGAAACGAGGAAACGTATCTGGGTTTGAAATGGAATGCTCAATTTGCAGGTGTTAACCTGGAGCCCACCAAGCACTAGCTTCGCTCGGCAAGGGAGGGAATTCGCTAATGATTCTGGCTGGTGCGACAAGTCAGGAAATGAAGGGGGCCAGCTCCCCATAGAGAGGTTCTTTTTCCAATTCAGCCCCGACTAGCCACACCATTCAGAAGTTGTAGCTGCCATTTTGGTGAGGTTGATGTCTATTCTACTTGAACCAAAGGCGAGTGACGTTCCAAACCCTTCCTTCAAGGGACGCATCCCGCTGAAGCAAGATCTCTTCAACTGTTCAGTCTTCAATGGGGAGCCTCCACGAGTTTGTGCTGTTTGAAGTCGCCAACAGATCTGGGTTCTTGAGGACCAAACAGTTCGATCTAAACAGGACCTCGGCTCCTCAACCCATTTGTGCATTTCAAGATGCCGAAAGCCGTGGGTCCTCAACCCGCCAAACCCACCAGAAAACACCACATCCCCACGACGAAGCACCTGGTGCGATCCACACTTCCGCCATGGCCTGGACCGAAAAACGCGAAAAGCGGTTTCCGTTCGGGACGAGACCCCCCCCCCAGTGGTGTTGGGGACACATGGAACTCCCATGTGTAGCAGGTCACAGCGGCAAAGCGGATGGAAGAGTCCATGAATGCATGGGTACTGTGTTTCTGTTTCTCTCTTCAGCAGTCTTCACCGGTGCTTCTTTGGGATAGGGCACTCCGACAACAACTTTGGACGTTGCCCCAAAACAAGACGGTCCAGTGAAATGGTTGGCTTTGCAGCATATCAAGTATTCAAATGATTGGAGTCTGCTGGAGAATTTGCAACATCCTGTAACTACCGCTGCCTACCACTGCCATGGTGCAAACTGTCGTTATCTTATTTGTGTTTAGGACGTGACTGATAAGAACAGCATCCTTTAATACTTTCTTCGATTTTGCTATGTCCTTGTCTTTGGACCCAATATAAACTACCTGAAACTGCAAATGGCTGAATTTTCCTGGTCGTACGGCCGTGGCCGTTTTTTTTGGTCATTACGGTTTGCTGTTATTTCTGTTGTTTTTTTCATTTCCGGGAAAAGGCCAAAATATCTTTTGGGCGTTTATTGGGTTATTTTGTTCTTTTTGGGCGTTGTTCGGGTAGTATCCATATTTGGGTCAAATATGCCCAAAACAACCAGCGATTTGAGTCATTTGACTGACATTTTTTCTGGTCATTGCGGATAAAGCTGAACTTTGACCATATTCCCTGGTCATTACGGCATATTCGCAAAATGGCTGAAAAAATCAGGCAAACGCGACTCCAGGTAATTAATTGTGGTTGAGATATTACATACGGTATATATTATATCTAATATATATATATATATATATATGTTTTTTTTTTTTAATCTATCTATCATGTTCATAACAACACAAACATATAAGAACATCATAGTATAGCTTTCGTGAAATAAAACTTATCGCTGCGTGTTCCACCTTAAGACACATTCAGGAACCAACTAAACAATGTTGCCAACCATTGCCAACCGCATTATTTTACATGTTAGAAGTCTTCATGAAATCTATCAACTATTATCGCAATAACCTTACAAGTACCCAATCAACAAACATGTACATAGACTACCAAGCTGCCCCCGGCTGCCATGTCTTTTTCCAGTCTTGCTGTTCGCCATCGCCAAACACCAAACAACGCCTCGGGTCCGCCCCCAAACACTGAGGGACCAGCACTTTTGTGAAGGAATCCAGGATTCACAAAGAGTGTGTCATCTGCCACGGTCCTGAGAAGAGGAAGTAGAGAACAGATCAAATCGAGAGTGGGAGTCTCGCGAGTCTGGAGACAGATTAAAGGAGGACACCATGAATCAGATCTATAAGACTGGAATCTGTAGCTCTTGACTGGTTTTTGACCCCTAAACCAGCACCGGTTTGGCTGAGCAAATCGATCTGAGCAGCTTCTTCTCCCGTTCGGTCACACCTGCGCAATCCTTCGCAAAATCACCAGTTTGCCTGTGCTAGACAACCAGAATCGCCTTGTTCAAGCCATCCGCTGTCACGCATCCGCTTTCATGGCCAGAACTCGACGACGACTCCGCCGAGTTCTCGGCCGGTAACCGAACGCTACCCCAGCCGACCCGCCCGTGGTGTTGGGAAGCCGAGAGTCGCTGAGAGTCCGGAAATGGATGGGAAAATGCAGAGATGGGGCGCGCCAGCGGGGAAGTCCAGTGCGGAGGCTCTGGACTCATAGACCTGAAGGGGGCTGGAGGTGGAGGTGGCTGTGGGTCCTGGGACCCGGAGCCCGGGTCCTGCGTGGTCAACCCATCCAGGTCGTCTGTTAAAATCTGCGGCTTGGAATGTACTAGCAAAAGTACCAACGTCAACAGGTACAGGGGAACAGTGGTATTTTTTACAATGCCCTGTCCAAAAAGAATAGGGGATGGATTGGGGACATATATCTAATTAATATATCTATCTCTCTCTCTCTATATATATAACATTGCATCTTAGAAGTATAGACGCAGTTCTTGACCTGCCGCCCATTCCGTGCGCGGTTCTTGAACCGCCTGGGCCGGTTCGCGTGGCACCATGGGCAGCAAGCACCGCTGCTGGAGCAGTAGCCGCAAGGCCTGAGGGCACGGGACTGCATCACCCCACACCAAGAAAGTATTTGGACACTCCAAACCCACCCCAAACACCTTCTCAAAGGTATTTGGAGCCCTAGGGATACGGATACCGTGATGCATGGGAATATGGAGCGGCCCTCGGAAAGATTGAAGTGTCACCGACCTAAGCTGAATGAACATCTGCCAGCCTCGCCACAAACCACCCCATACATCACTTGGAAGGGGCCTCTTCCAAGCAGTGAAACCGACTATGTCTATTTCAAGTTTACAAAATCTATGAGATTCAAAACAAGAACAAACGAAACAACTTCATCTTCGTTCCACGAAACGACTCCATCTTTGTTGCCTCAATGCCTCTCACGATCGAATCGGGTCATCCATCAGGTCTCCGACTCTCCAAACAGCCAAAAACCAGGCGTCTCCGCAGGTTCCGGAGGTTCGGCCGCCTCTTGAATCTTCTTCCCTGGAGGTCGCAACACCAGCTGTGGCAGCATGGGCCCCAGCAAGTCTGCTGAAGTGAGACACACCTGGAGACCGCCACCGGTGACCGACGTTTGGCTCACGGAGTCGGTAGGTCTGAGGTCGGTCCGGTTGAGCAATGGCCGGAAGACAACTGAGGTGGGCCAGCGTATGGGAAATATGAACATGTTAAATTATTAGTTATTTATTGTACAACTAGAGGCAGAACCTTCCAAAGGTGAAGGCCTTCATTCTCCACTGTTATTATTAACATGGTCTACAAATCAAGTGAGCCAGAACCAATTTCCAGCTCTACGTCTCCCTGACATCTTAGGTGCACGTGATACTTTGTCAACTTCTACACGCCGCAGCCACGAGATTGAGGAAACCAACATATGTCCCACCAATCATTCATTACAGCATCTGTACAATCACCGTTCATCCTGTGTTTCTGATTCTCGTTCCAATATATAACCGATAACCCTTAACCTTCCTTGGAAGAGCGAACGTTCTGGGAGATCACCTCCCTGTTGGAAATGGTTGTTGAACACGCCCTCTGTGAAACCAAACAACCATAAACATGTCAGAGTCTGCCCCTAAGTGATAGGGTCAGCATGAAGAATCGCAAAAGTGTTCACCCCTGAACAAACACCGATGTCTATTCTTCAGGCACCCCAAACACATGTTTGAACGACCAAATGGAGCCTCAAATCCTCGAACCAAAGGATTCTAGTCAGGTGTAGTCAGTAGCTCTCCAGAGATGTCTTTTCAGACTCAATGTGCATGATCGTCAACTCATCCTAAAACACCAGGCATCACAGGCCGACTCTGCCTCCAAACCGACTCCGGCCACGACTCGCACCTTGATGCCATTGATCTCCAAGTGTGCAGGGTTGGGAAGAAAGCGAACCTCGCAACAAGAAAAGACACGCAAATACTCTTGGACCCGAGTTCTTTCCGTCCACATGTTTGAGCCAAATGCATGTATATTATATCATATATCATCATATACATACAAATGGTCCCCAAACACACATCTGGTTTGCACATGTTTGTCCAAGGGTCTTGGATATACAAAGGTACAGTATATAACTAAGTGTTCATGGGAACTCATCCAAAACCCTCTCAACAGGATACCACGCTCTTGCTCTGGTCTGACCCTTCGTTCTCCACTCGCTGGTGCCAAGAGTCCAACGGTCCCAGGGAAGGTCCCATGACATTCTAAAGCCCGAGCACCTCATTGAAGCCTCTGTTTCTGGAAGCACCTCCAGTGAAGCCTCATTGAAGCAATTTCAGTTATGAACCATCTTCCACATTCTTCACCATGTTTGCCTCGAAAAGCCGTCTCCTTCCCCAGTCTTCAGGCCCCAAGCGACTCCCAACTGCTCCAAGCGACTCCCAAGCGCTGCAACTGCTCCAAGGAATCCCTTCGAGTGAGGAATGGCCCCATCCTCAGTCAGACCAGGACCGTCGACTGGCACCAAAAGCAAACACCCCAAAGAAGCTGGCGTCTTCAAGTGTCGGACGGTGTTCCGATTGAAGAGGCAGGAAGGAGGGTGTCTTCACATGTCAGAGCATGGTTGAATTCAAACTTCTCTCGGGACTGCGTAAGCAGTCCATCCAAAGCAGGATGCAATCTCAAGCTGCACTGCACAAGCTAAGTAGGAGGCGATACGTCGATCGGAGGTTGTGGCAAGGGATGGAAAGAGAGCACCTCCAGAACCCACTTCCATCGACAGATGTGAACCATGTAGGTCCACAGGGCTTTCATTGCCGATGGTTAGGTCACGCTGCTCTCTGCACAATGATAGAAGTGCAAACGTTCTCGACCACATACAAGCCACCTAAAACTGAAGACGTAGCTGGTATAAATGTGTGTGAACCAATCCCGTGACGGTGGCCAGACTTTGCGGGGTCGAGCAATTGACAATATAAGTATACCCTAAGCGTCGGCGGACATTATTATTATGGTGGTTGTAACTGAGACATTTTTATTGGAACAACCGACATTTTGGAATCATTTCATGGTGCATCCGCAATCCCCTGCAGCACCTCCTGCTCCATCGTGCGGGTTTTGCATGCATGAAGCCAACATCATAATCGAACATGTCGTTATGTTTAAATCTAGTTTGAAGGATTCCTCACATCACATACTTCCACCATGTTCTACCACCCTTTCGAACGTTTCGAACGTTCCATGGATCGATCCTGATTGCTGGCTGGATCTCTGGGCTACAGCCATGATGTTGGCCCTGGAGGTAGGGACCTTAAACTTTGGAGTTGCCCCATCATATGATCACATGAAATTGATGGTTGGCCATTGGTGGCTTTGCCATCCATGACTTCGCAAGGTCATTGGTGGCAATGGTGGGAATCAAGCGGAGCTTGATCAGGAGTTGCCCGACTCAAGATCAGTTGTTTCTAGACCACCCCAAAAGGGTCCAAAAGGTCTGTGGGGATCACGTGCCTAGGACAGTGTGAAGATCTGCAAGCCCTTAGACGTGCTGGGGCTTTTGGACAGAGAGGCGCCAATCAACAATCTAGATCGATGTGATCACTGAACTTGTTGATTGGAAATTGCATAAGGGTTTTGGCTTGCAATCGGGATGCATGGATTTCAAGTTCAAGGGATTGATCCTGACAGCACGGCCACTCAAGCGAACCAGTTTTTGCACTGCTGGTTCGATCGATGCCGACGCCCGCTGAAGACTCGCGGGTGGTCCAGCTCAAGGCACGGCACCTGCATCACATGGAATGTTGGACGAATCGAAACAGGTTCAAACAAATCTAGAGATCTCTAGATCGTAAAACCTTTAGTAAAGCAATGATTGTTCTGTAAAGACTTTTTTTAAATGGTGGTTAGAATCCCAGGGGATCTAACGTATGTTAATTCCCATTGTTGTCATCTCAATGGCAGGGCTTCTACACGGATCTCTTGGATGTGCCTGGGTTCATCCGCCGTCGGCGAAAGCTCCTGCGAACACGGTTGAAGATGTCTGATGGAGACAAAGAAGCTACGTGGCTTAAATAGAGTGTGGCTTCAACAAATATAAAAACAAATTTCAACGTCATGCATTCTGGAGGTTCCCCGCTTTGCCTTCGTCATTAGAAGCTCAACAAAGAAGACCAATATTCAGGAGCAGGAGGTTGGATGAGCATGCTTGATATTACCTAGCTAAAGAAGCTGTTTGAACTTATTCATACCAATCAAACAAATGCATGCATGCACATTTGATGGACCGCATTGATGCAGGTGGAGTCTGAAGAGAACTTTCGCTTCCTGCTTGGGTTTCTGGCGCAGTTCGCTCATAGCTTACCACCTGAGAGTATGATGAAGGCCCGACTACATTGAATTGATGGGTTTTCCCGTTTTCCCTGAATTCGCAGCAACTCCACTACTAGTATCCCACGAGGGTTCAAACAATGAGTGACTTGCGCTATTTTTTCCAGGAAGCCCTGGTATGGGTCTCCCAGCATTTCAACCTCCACCCGGACTTTGAATGCTTGGCGGAGCACCAAGCGACTTGGCCATTCAATTTCTTTCTTACGAGTTCCAAGCATTTGGCCACTTGGCAAAAAAACTATTTCACAAAATCTAAGGGATGGGCGGACACTGAGTCGGGTCTCCAAAGGGCATTCCTGACTTATACGATGACACGATTCCAAAAGAATCCTACAGCCCGGTTGGGATCTGAGCTTTTGATGTGTTTGATACGTTTTTGACTTAGAGTTATCAGAGTTGATACCAGCAAGGAATGTTTTTTTGAGTATATGTCATTCTTCTGCTTAGATCCAACAAGTCCAGAATGGCCCAGCTGAAGATGGTAATCCGAAAGAAGCTTGAGGCACGATACTCATACATCAGAATGTCAAAAGAACACATATAATGTTGACCTGTAAATTGCTAAAGTGGTGCTGCATAATCAACTAGCAACTTGCAGGCCGAGGGGGTACTGACTGAAACGGGCAAAAAAGTAGCTTCACGAGGAAGAAGTGCCAGCTTACAGGACTGATTTACAAGACTGCAACCATTGCATGCACTGATTGTACATGTTAATTAGTTTGGTAATGACTATATATAGACTCGATTGACCAGGATTTGTCAAAGGCAGCATCTACTGGATCCCAAGGAGCAGCATATGTTTAATGTTTTTGGCCACAAGCAGAACCCCAAGTCCCATAGTGCAGCTAACTTGAAACTCGCAGGAACGCAGATGGACAACATGGATACACTTCCCTTTGACCAACTACATGATGAGGGTGGAGAGCTGGACAATGTTGAAGAGTTGGAAGGTGAAGAGGAAGAAAACGATATGGATGCTGACGACCCCGTGGAAGAGTGTTCAGATCTAGAGGAATCAAAAGACGACCCAGTGGAAGAGTGTTCAGATCTAGAGGAATCAAACGCCAGCAAACCAGAGCACCCAGGGAAGCTTACCAATGAACTCCAGTCCCAAGTCTCTGAACCTGTTTGCAGGGAACCTGATTCCCAAGTGCCTCAGGAGGAGCCCAATTCCCAAGTGCATTGGGAGGATTCCCAGGCGCCTTTCGAGGAAAGTGCTTCCCAAGTTCCTTTTGAAGGAGGAGCCATGGACGAGGTGAGGGACCAGGAAGAAGTTTTGGAATCCGAGGTGAAGGACGAAGTTTTGGAACCCAGCTTGGACAAGAAGAACAATGCTGAAGGTCAGGCCAAGAAGGTTACAAAAGAGGAGAAAGAATCGAGCCAGTGCGAAAGCAATGAAGGGAAACAGTTGGCTAACACCAAGGAGGAAAAGGAGGATGAGGCAAAAAGCAAAGAACGTGAGGAGAGTGAGGACAGCACTACACAAGACCAACAAGAAAGCAAAGAAGAGACAGGGAAAAAAGTTGACTGCATTGACTTGGGATCAGAGGATGATGAAGCAAAAGGAACATTTAAGGACACTCCGTCTGATTTGGAAAATGGAGCATGTCTAAACGAGGTTCTACAAACTGAACAATGAATTCATTTGTATTTGGATTTGGATAAATCATCATTGTTGCAGGACGACGAAGGGGCACTCACATTGGAGCCAAAGCACAACCAGGAGATGTTGGAGAGGTCTAAAACACTCATGCAGGAACTCTACAAAAGTCGAAAGCTTAATGCAAGCAATGAGGATGTCATCGAGGCACAATTATCAGCAGGATTTGCAACCTCTTGGCCAACTCTGATCCCTATAAATACTATTCTATAGTAGCCTATTCTAGGCAGAATAAACAATACAAACATTCATTTTATTATTTGCATGTGCAGGCACAAAAGAAGCTTCGACAGACCAACCGAGAAGCTGAAATGGAGACTGATGATATAGAGGATGAAGATCGTGCGCTACGAGAAGAAGAAGCTTCTGGAGAACCAAAGCCTGGAAACAGAGGCCGAGGCAGAGGCAGAGGGAAGGGAAAAGGCAGAGGCAAAGGAAAGGCAAAGCCGAAAGCAAAAGCGCAAGTTCAACAACATGATGGCAATCCCAAGTCAGGAAGTGGTGCAAGCAAGGACAAGAATAAAATGGATGCAGAACGGGAAGAGTTGTTGGCAAAAATCGAGCGCTTGGAAGCTATGATTTTGGACCAGAAGACAAGCACCACCAAAGCTGAAGAAAAAGAAGAGAAGGACGGATCGAAGTTGGCTATGAAAAAACAGGAGGAGGAAAGTGCCCCAGCCTCAAGGAAGAGGAAAGGCATCCGTGAGAACACTAAGGAAGGCGTGTCTGATCATGCAAAGGTGGATGGTCCCGAAACAACTCCAGCGGCAAGCAGTTACAAAATGGAAGACAGGAAAGCAAGCAAAGCAAAGGCTGCACGGTTGAGGGAATCCTTCAACAGGTGGAGCCCCAAAAAGAAGTTGGAGAACGAACATACAGGTGATTTGGCTTCTTCATCAAGAGCACCTGCACAAAAGCGCAAAGCAAAAAGCATTCAGGACGTTCAGAAACCAACTAACCGGGCTCTGGACAGTGACTTTGAGAAAGCAGCCTCAGGAAAGGAACCTGCAGAAATACCCAAGACTGGAGAAGCAAAGAAGCTGAAAGAAAAAGCAGACCCAAAGAATGCGCGCAGAGCACGCGAATTGAGAACAATGGAAGCTTCGCCAAACTTTAGAGTCTAGAATATGCTAGGATTATAACTTTTAAATCCTACACATGATTCAAACGTCGATTTGCAAAGGATGCTTTGAGAGTGTTGGAACTGCAAAGGTTCTTTGGCAACTCAGGAGAAAGCCTTACCAGAGATTTATGCCCTAGCCGAAATGGATCCTGATTTCTTCAAGATGCCTGATATCGCAACAGCGTCAAAAGGCTCCTCCACCACACTACTGGCTGAAGACTTGCAAAAGAAGTTTCAGCCTCAGCAAACTTGGCCCCATTGAGTGTGTGTGCATCAAGACACAACTTCTAGCTAGTACGTGTGTTGGTTTGAGTTCGCAGCTGATCAGGTCCTTTACCATCTATGCTCCGGAGGGCCACCAAAGCGCTGATGGGAAAGAGCTTTCTGGCATTGGGGTGCTGTCTCTCGGAAGCACATTGCATACGTATGAAATGAACAATCAATGATTTATAAAAATTACATGTAAAATGGGACAGCTAGTACAGGCTTAGTGGATCCTGGAACTAAGGATGTATACACGGTCTTACTATGTGCACCCAGTACCAAAGGAGCGTGCCGCCATGGTCAGTGAGAAATTGGGACTTGATG